TTGAAATATAGGACATGTCCTTGGGAATGAGGATGTCTGGTCTCCCTGGTTTGTGTTTGTGAACAGTTGCTGAAACTAAGAAGTCAACTTCGGAACTGGGAGCGCCGGGAAACGTCCTCCAACTTTCGGCCCTTCGTGACTGGGAAAGGGGGTAAATTAGAAGAGAGTCGCGTGTGAAGTAACTGTAGACACTATTCCAACGGAACTAGTCGGAGGAGGAGGAGGGGCGAGGCTGTGGGGGCGCCCGCTGGCGTTAGTATCGAAGAAGGAGGGACGAAGCGAACGAAAGGGGGGAAAGCAACGGTCGGTAAAGCGAGGCAACGGCCGCCTAGGGCTGGAGCCTGGATGCTTGAAAGCGGGTGGGTGCAGAGAGGAGAGGAGAGGAGAGGAGAGGGGCCGGCGGTTAGCAGCGGTTAGGTCTAGCCCCGCCCCTCTCAGCCCCGCCCCTTTCCTGCTCTGCCCGGAGGCGGCGATTGTGAGGAAGCCGCCGAGAGACTGGCTTTGTCCCAGAAGGGGGCGGGCCACTCCGGGAGAAGGGCCGCTGCGCCTGGCGACGGCTGAGGGGGCGGAGCTCCGTCGCGCGGCGGGGGCAAGGGGCGGGACGGAGGCGGCGCGCGGGGCCCTGCTCGGGGCCAGTCGTGCGTGTGGCGGCGGCGGCGGCGGCGGCGGCGGCGGCGGCCCCTCTCCTCCTCCTCCTCCTCCTCCTCCTCCTCCCCGGTTCGCGTGGAAGGGGAGCGGGGCGCGAGCCTCTCCCGGACTGCCCCCTCGCTCCCTCCCTCCCTCCCTCCCTCCCTCTCTTCGCCATGGAGGAGGCATCCCGGTTGCTGGCAGGGCTCCAGGCTCCTCCCGGGGCCGCCGGAGACCCCTCGCCCCACCGGCTCCAAGCCCCGCCGGGCCCGCTCCAGCCCCAGCCGGGCCCGGGGCTCCAGGACACGGGGGACATCTTGCAGCAGATCATGGCCATCACCGACCAGAGCCTCGACGAAGCGCAGGCCAGGTGAGGAAGAGGAAGGGGAAGGGGAAGGGGACAGGACTGGAGGGGGGAGAGACGGACGGGGACGGGGGAAGGTGTGTGTACACACACACACACACACTATATATATATATATATATATATATATATATATGTATGTATGTATACATGCACACACATATACATACACACATATATACGTATATACACACATACATATGTGTGTGTATATCTATATATATCTACACACACACACACTATATATATATATATATGTATGTATGTATGTATACATGCACACACATATACATACACACATATATACGTATATACACACATACATATGTGTGTGTGTATATCTATATATATCTATATATAGATATATTTATATCTATATCTATATATATACATACACACACAAACATGTACACAAGCACACACATACATATGTATATACACATGCGCACACCTGCACACACACATATATAGTAAATACATATATACACATGTACACACACATAGATCTATCTATCTATCTATCTATACACACATACATACCATATATATATATATACATACATATACATATACATATACAGACACACACACACACTCCTATATATATAATATAGAATTCAAAGAGTTAGCCGTGTTAGTCTGGAATATCATTATGCAAATAAATCTTGTAGCACCTTTGAGACTAAGTGAAAGAAGTTGGTAGCATGAGTTTTTGTACACTTGAGCTGACTTCCTCAAGTGCATGTTCCTCAGATGCATGCCCAGATATGCATCTGAGGAAGTAGGCTTAAGTCTACAAAGGCTCATGCTACCAACTTCTTTCTTTCAGGTAGTCTCAAAGGTGCTACAAGATCCCCTTACATATATGTAGACACACACAACACACATTGTGGGCCCTTGGTCCCCGCTGGGATTTGGTTCTGGGACACCAACCCCCGTAGCAAAATCCATGGATGCCCAAGTCCCATTAAATACAATGACATAGTAAAAGGGTATCCTTTATATAAAATGACAAGCTCAAGGTTTGTTTTGGGGGAATTTATTTTTTAAAAAAAAATATTTTTCAAGCTGTGGGTGCTTGAATCCATGGATACAGAGGGCTGGCTATATATATGAAGGTGCGGGGGGAGCGTCTGTTTGGAAAGGGCCTTGGCACCTCCCAGCTGGAGAGGGAAGCTGAGGGAATGGGGTAGCTTTCTATACAGGGTTTTTGGAACTGGTAAGCATCAGGGTTTGGGGCTTGGCAAGATAGGTCCAAGGCTGGAGAGAATTGAGGGCAGATAAAGGGGGAGGCTTAGAGGCATTGCAGGGTAGGCCCTGCAGGCTCTGTAAAAACCTTGGATTAGTGTGAGGGTATCTGTTGCCTAGTTGTGTAGCCATACACAAAAGGCTTAGGAGACTGGGTTAAGCAAGTACTGATGTGTGCTCTTTGGACAATATTGGTGATGTTGTGTGTCTTCAAGTCATTGCTGACTTATGATGACTCGGACAAACCAATTGTGGGGTTTTCTTGGCAAATTTTGTTCAGAATGGGTTGGCCATAGCCATCCTCTGAAGCTGAGAGTGTGATTTTTCCAGTGGGTTTCATGGCCGAGCAGGGATTTGAACCCTGGTCTCCAGAGTCATATCCAGTGCTCAAACCACTACACCATGGTGGCTCAATATTAGAGCTCTTTATCCATTACTTTGGGCAGGGTTGGCTCTGTCACCCAGTCAACTGATCTTGACTTCTCAGCAGATGTACCTGTATATTACACATATTTGTTATCTCATTCATACTTTACGTTTCTAGGCAAACACCTAGAACGGTTAGCAGTCTCCCAAGCTGGGATGTTGGCTTACAATCTTTTGGAAATAGTCCCCCCCCCCCCCCCCCCCCCCCCCCCCCCCCCCCGATCATTGATGACAGGAGGCAGTCGGCCTTTGGATTTGATGAAGGATCCTGTCACTTGTCCTGGTTTTTCCTGTTATGGTGATCACCAGGTGAATTGAAGGCCACTGGGCTGTTAGTCACTTGGTCCTTATCCAAGTCCATGAGCAGGATGTAAACTAATCAGGATTATGTTAAACAAAAGAAAGAAAAAGAAGATAATTATTTGGGTGCAGTCTGTTCTAGGGAGAAGCCAAAAGCCAACCCATGAGATTGATTCTGTTTGTTCATTCATGCAGACCGATGCTGGATAATGTGTTACTTGGGGGCAAATGTCATTATTACGGGAGGATGCCTCTATTCTTTAAATAGTACCATGGTCAGTACCTTTGGTGGGCAAGAGTTGGGTGTGAAGTATTCCTATGGAGTACTGACAGGACTAATGTAAGTGAGCAAGGGCATGTTCTGTAAGGATGCTGAACTGAGTGCAAGTATACCTGAGAACTGGACTCTAGATTTGGGATAAAAACAGTTACATTGAATAAGTTGATATCAAATTAGTTAAACTGTATCTCTTCTTTGAGCTATCTACTAACAACATTTCTGGCCTAGGATCTGATTTAGTGAACTGGATGTAATATTCATTTTGTTTTCTCTTGCCTTTTCTTTGGGAATACAGTTGTGGATTATTTATGGCTACACAAAGGTGTAGAATTTATGGCCAGAAATAATGGAGAGAAAGTCAGTTGCACGTCATTCCAAGAAAATGAATTTAGGGCTTTTGCAGACTGTTAGAAATAGTACAAATTGAGTCCACTTTAAGAGTTAGGGTTAGGGAATCATGGGAACTGTATTTTATTGTGGCACCAAAGCTCTCTGACAGAGAAGGCTCAATCTCCCAGAAAAAAACCCCAATTCCCAGGATTCCCTAGCACTAACCCTAACCCTTAAAGTGGACTCAGTTTGCACTATTTCTGGCAGTCTGCAAAGGCCCTTAGTAGAGGTCTGTGGTGCTGGGAATACCCCAAAGAGTACTAGTTCACTTCTGCATATGGCTGGCAAGTTGAGTTTATTTCCAAAATTACAGGGCTGTCTGCTCTTTCTCTTGGTCTAATTTAAATGTGTTTAATTTGACTTAACATTGTTTAGCCTAAGTCTTCTGTTAAGAGCTGCATCAGGACATAATTTGGAGTTATTTTTCTTATTCAAAATTGGTAACAGATTGGGCAGAAGAGAAAAGAGAGGCGCATTTGTACCTTCTTGGATTTCTGATTAACTCATATGTACATTCTTCTAATACTAG